ACTTAATATCTAGATTTGAGTGAAATTTTTCAGAGTGGTCGACCTCCGAAATATTATTTAAAATATCCAGGAGAAATTGATTTCAGCGCAATGAAAATGAACAGAAAGGCAGCTCTGGATGAAGTAAGTGGATTTAGGTATATTTGAGAATAGTTTTCAAACATAATCTTGTCGTGCTTACATTAATATTTAAATCAACTGCGGCGTGCACCAGGCTTGCCGGTGCGAATATGCATTTTTACATAAAAATTTTGCAGCGAGATCGCTTGGGCTAGATACTTGTTCCTGACTATTTTAGGTTTTGACTTGTTTTTATATGTTTTTTTTTTTTGTAGAACGCATTGTCAGTCTTTTAAATATTACCTTTGCTTTAATGAAGACGAATGTTGCTAGTATTATGCAATTAATAATAATGCAAATTCGCATAATCATGGACTGGGAATCTCTCTCAGCTGAGAATTTCATTTCATGATCTTGAAGAATTGGGAAAAAAATTTCGAAAATAAAAATTCAAAACTGGAAAAATTCACATTTTCTAAGATGATGCAGAATCGCATAGCGCCATCGTATCTTGAATCGAACATCCGTCAGTGGATACGAAGCGGCAACGTCGGCAGACTCAAGCAGCTGGTGCTTTCTGGATGCGGCGATTTGCTTCTCAAGCATACAACCACTAATCCTGACTCTGCAGCCTTTCTAAAGCATCTCACTACTTATCTGGTAATTTTTTAATCCATCTGAGCATTTGTGAGGGAAAAGTATCCAACTGATCATTTGAAGAGGCGCACCTTAAAATTTTTCTATATGTTTATTTTTTTAAGAGTTAAGTACAGCTAAGTGAAAGTTTTATAGGATGAGATAGAAGAAGTTCACAAAACGATCAAGGAAGGAAATTTAGCTCGTGTAAAGGAGTTGTTAGCTTCCCAGAAGCTGGCTTTGGCCCGGAACAAACATGGCTGGTCGCCGCTTCATACTGCCATCGTTTATGAACAAACCGAAATTATTCGTTATATCATTATGCAATTTCCATCGGTTTTGAATGCTCCCGATTATGTAAGTATCTACGAAAGCTATGAAGCTGAATTCTTCATGAATGGATCTTTAGATACAAAATGTACGTTCACTTACTCTACACGCCATTTTCCG